TGCCAGTGCTGTGTGGCAAGCTATGAAAATGATATATTAATAAATTTAAATGATTCTTGATATCACACAAGATAACCTGTGCAAAGTACTCGTCAAAACAAAAGTAGAAAAACTTAAGTTATTGCCAAAAATATTTTTCTTGTGTTCTACAAGTTTACAGAAAATGTATTATGTCAAGTATCTTACATATATATATGCTGATATGCATTACAGAAATCTGTGTGACAAGATGATAAACAATATAAACCAAGGTATTTTTATTTTTTAAAAAAATGGCATTTTTACCCTATAGAACATATTTCTGTATTTATAGTTTTTCAAAAAAAAATCAAATTTCTTTTCTGTTTCAGGCTTTGTAATTTATTTCAACTGCTTCATTTTTAGAACTCAATGAGTATGCCAGTGAAGACGGGAGAAAGAAAAAATCTGCAAAAGAAAAGGAATAGGAAAGCTGTTCAGCAAAATGTTGAAAAAGAGAAAAAAGCATGTAAAGTGTTCAGATAGAGAAGAAAGAATGAATGTGTGTATTGCCTTTTTTTTTTTTTAATAATGGCCTTAAACTTTTCTGGAAGCATTTCAAATAAATTACATTAAACCATTTTTTATTTGGTTTGGTTGGTTGTGCAAGAAGACTGCAGAAAGATTTAAGTGGTACAGGCAGTGAGGCTTAATGTAGTGACCAAGGCTTATCTTTTGGTTGCTATGGAAGTGTTTATATTTGGATATAATTTGCCTGATACAAAGTAGTAACAAAAAAATGAGTTACTGTACTCAGTTCACTGCATTCCCCAAAGTTTTGTGTTAAATAATTAATTTAGTAAGTAGGTGGAACAAAGAACTAACATCTTGTCATCAGTTTCTCTCTCATGATTCCTTGGGGATCACATCTCTACTAAATATATTATTCCAAAATACTGAGTTGATTAATTCTGGGGTATATAAAAAGCCACCAAGCAGCCAGTGAATCTCAGAAGATTAATTTACATTTGTTTACTATCATTTAGCCACCCACTTAACCTCATGTTCAGCATTCTGGAGTGCAAGTGATTTGTTCTGCTTTGTAGTTTACATGCACTTAGCTACTGATTGATCTAAGCTTAGTAATGTTGGGTTTTTCCTCTTCAAATCATCTGAAGGATTAAGCTTTCCAACACTAATATAATTCTGGATTTGGTTAGCTTGTTTTAGTTCTAGCACTTTTAAAATGTCGCTGCTTTTGAAAGAATGACTTTTGATTGTGGCAGGAGGGGCTTGGGGTGGTGGAGGGGTAGGGTGGGCTTGGACAATAAAATGTACCAAAACAGGTGGGTAAAACATAAAATGATGAATGTGTAGTAAAGAGGAAAAGTAATGTACATAAATATGTCCAAGTGATCATCACAGTCAGTAATCCTGGTGTCGGCAGAGCAGAGTCTGAGGGGTTGCAGCAGTGAAAAGACTGAGGTGTCAAGTGCTTCCAGGATCATCACCATGTGGGGATGGCAAAATGAGGAGAGGGATGCAGGTGATCCTCTAAATCTGAGCTATGGGCACTCTGGATCTCACATTCTGGGAGAAGAGCGAGTGCTAAGGTGTCCTGCTCTCAAGAGCAGGAAGTCAGTGGTCTGATGTGGGAGATTTGTCCCTTTTTGACAAATCTTAGCAACTGTTTGCTCTTCTGTTCCTGATGAGGACAGTCAATGTAGTCTTAGCTTATGGAAAGACCTGATGAACCAGAAGGTAAAAGCAGAGATTGTCTTGACTGAGAAAGAAAGGTAAGCAAAGAAGGCCTTGGAAGTCTTTGAACTGTATAGGTCCTCTGATGAAAAAAATTTTACTGTCTGTGGCCTTTGTTTCCCTAGATTTGCTCTGCAGCACTGAATGAACAACACAAGGATGAGGACTTATCTCCTGGAACACAAAGGTCTGTTATGAGACACCAGCAGCAGTAAGTTTAAGGTCTCTCGAGCTCAGTACCAGAGAATCAGTTGCCAGAATCTGGGTAAAGGATAGGCCAGCAATTGAACTCAAGGCAGAGAACGTATTTCTCCTATTTCAGCATGAGCCACCTGAACCAAGGACACTGCCTTAGGAATGCCTCTGCAGGACTGGAGACCAGGTTTCTTGAGGTTTCACAAAACTTTTAGAATTTGAAAGCTACATCAGAACTTTAAGGTACCAGTTTAATGGACTGCAGTTTTTGAAAAAGTTGATGTTTTATGGTGACGCTGCCTGGCACTTCACGGACAAAGCTTGGTTGCCAGGATCTAACAGAGTCTGAAGCCGAGTTTCACATATATGGAAGATTTTTTTCCTTTGAAAAAGGGGTTCCAGATCCAGAATGGACAGTTCTTCTGTATTTAATGCTTACTCATGAATACTGATTTTAAAATACTGTAATCTGTTCTACAGGTTGATGGTGCCATCTAATGGAAATTATGATGTATTTTTAGAGCTGATTTGATTACATTAAATTTAAAATATTTTAAGATATTTAATGTATTAATCATGATAAAATGAAAGTATTTTAAAAATACAAGTAGGTATTTTCAGACTTTCACCTGAGGATCACAAATTTGTTAAAGAAAAAAGCACCAGGTAAATTTCTGCTACTAATCCCTGCTCTTACAGAGCCAAGTCAATCCTACTGCCCCATTTTGTCTCACCTTTTAATATCATAGGCATATTTTCTCTATGGCTGGTAAATGATACTAAAGCTCTTTCCAAGTGTGTAAATTAGGTTTTGTTTCTGAATTTTCCAAAGGTGCCTCTCTTTGCATGGTCTTTGAAGAAAGATTAATGATACAGTTCTCCTATCTTTGATCTCCTGGCACCTGAAATTTAGCATTCAGCACAAAATTAGCATTTCAACATTTGAAGGAATGAAGTGTGTTTTGCATCACTAGAACAATTTCTGGAAAGTAAAATAGTAATTTCTAGGTTTTTACATTAAACTGTAAGAATATGCTCAGATTGAGTAATTCTGCATTTCTAAATTTGCTTTCATAAAGGAATACCGAGGTAATGTCTGGAGCAAGAACCCATGTTTGCTTCTTGAGCAAGGAGCCTTACACAAGCCTTCCTAAAAAATGTCCCATTTTGTGGCTGTTAATCTGATCTAAATCTGTAATACTAATGTGCTACATATAATCTGATTTCAGAATCAAAGGGGTCTGCAGCTGCTTAGTACTTGGGTGGGAAACCACTTGGTGCAAGCCAGGGAGTCGTGGTTGAATGCCTGGCAAGGATCAGAAACCACAGAAACCTTCAGAAGCTAGAGAGACAATAAGGTGACAGATTTTATAACCTTTTTTACTTCAGAGTATTCAAGTAATCTCTTCCTGTGATATTTTTTCACTGAACCTTTGTTTTGTGAACTGGGATTCTTAGTACCTGTTTTATATCTATCAGGATTTAAAATGCATAGTGGTACAGTGATCTGGTATTGTTAAGTAATTTATCAAGTAGTACTTAGCAGTTTTTGTGACATAAAGACTTATGTTAATTAATACAGAAAAAGAATTCTGTACAACTACAAAGACATAGGTTTTTAAAGCAAGTGGTAAATGAGGAAAACTTCTTTGTGTGTTGCTTTGTCAATAAGCAAGACTTGCTACTTTCTTTGGTCCAAACACCAGCTGAACTAGTTGTATACTGAAGACATGCACAGTCCAGAAGTGATTTTAGCAGCTTTGCCGGTTCAAACTTAATAAAGCAGGTTGACATATTTGGAGGTGTATAATGGGCCAACACAGCCTTAAGTAGCACTAGATTGGTATTTTCATTTTTTTCTTGTATATGGAAATTTTATTTGAACAAAGTAAAGCCCAGCAAAATTATTCCAATAATATATCAACTCATCTATAATATCCTCTTTACCACCACTGAACCCTCGCAGAGGCAGGACATCACATTCTCAGGGAGACAGTCTTGATTTATCCATAGGATGAACGCTGCATTTGTGGGGTTTATTACCTCTGGATAATGGAACACCATGTTTCTGCAGTCAGAGAAATATTTGGTGTTATGTTTCTGTAATTTATGTAAATTATGGTTACAGATACTAATTACCCTGTTTAAACTTGCTGGCTCACCAAAGACTTCTAAGAACTAATAATTATTAGCTTATTTTTTAATACCCTGGAGGCTATCACTATCACTAGGCCATGTGTGAGCTAGTAGGTTACTTATATTTTCTGACTTACAGGTAATCTAAAAAGAGATCAATTAAGTAAAATGGCCAGGTTAAAATATATGGTTAAAATATATGGTCCTTGCATACCTTGCAAGCATGCAAACTTCACATTTTTAAGGTCAGTAGCTGCTTTTGAGGTGACGGTATAAATAGCTACAGTTACAAGGATTGAAGGTAATCGGTATAAGTAGGTAATTAATATATGCATTTGTTCAACAAGCACAGCACTAGTATACTTTTAGTAAAGAAAACTAACGTTTTGTTACTTACTTGTAAAACTAAACATCTGGTATTCGTATTTCTTAGGCACTGCAAGAATGGGTTATTTTCAGCAGGCACTGTTCAATCCCGGTGCATTCCTCACAGCTGCCAAAAAAACGTCTGTGCTTTGGCTGTCACATGGTCACACCCCTCTTTTACCAGTGAGCCTTGCAGTGGCGGTGGCAGAGGGGAATAAATGTTAACCCTCTGATACGATACTCTCCTCCAGTACAAGTTAGCTGGTTATGAGACTATTGAAGAATCCTACTAAAGCATATTAAGATTTTTTTTGCCTGGTTTTCACTGTTAATGATGTATTTTTATTCATCAAAGGGGAAATTTTGTCATTTTCTCCAATGCCTTGGAAAGGAAACTTTAAACTTTAGAGGAAGAAGTGCGACCTGGCGCTGTGAGTGTACTTTTTGTTCAGGGGGTGAGTTTGTCGAGGTATCTGTGCAAGGCCTGGGCTGCCTTTTGGGGCCAGGGAGCTGTGCTGAGCTCCAGTGAGCCCCTGGATGGGTCCTGGACCTAAAACACTGTTATAGGTAAATAAACCAAATCAAAATTTAGCAGCAAAATTTATTGTAAGATTTATATAAAGTGCAGATAAGCAAATCAGCGTGCTGGGTGGCCTGGAGAGACCCCTGCTCTCCACCGGCCCACAAGCCCAATAAAAACAAACAGCAACTTTTATACTTTTCACTAACAAGTGACTACAGTCATAGTCACTCGTTAGCTCTTGATTGGGCTTGGGTTCGCGGGCTTCGTTCTGGTTGGTTCTGTTGCAGGCCCATTCCACGTGCCAGGGACTTTCCATTCAATAGTTTTAATTAGCCCAATGTCCTTGGAGCTGAATATGGGAAGGTATCCAGATGATCCAGATGTTCTCCTTGGCTCTTCTTTATCATCTCCATCCTTGACCCTCTGATCCTTGTTCTTTTCTTCCTTTTCTAATGAGTAACTTAGTCAATATTTTTAGAAAAGCAGGATATCGTATACGTGCTCAGTAAAGCAGAATACTTTATCTTTGCCAACTTGGGAACTGCCAGTTGCAGGACAGTCAACTTATAATAATAACACAGCAGTTAACTATTCTGCAGTTTACAACTCCCTAGTCCCAACCAAGCGTTAGCTGTAATATACAGAAAATACATTATATATATTTTGAGAAGTAAATTTTACCATTGTTTACTTATTACAACACCACCATGGGATCGGTTTGCTCCAGGGAGCCCGTTCCCTCCAGGGGATTATATCAGAGTTTCGAGATGCAACAAGAAGTAATAGTTAGTGCAGCAGAATGTAATACAGAAACTACCTATAGCTGAGCCAAGGGATTGTCAAGAACCAACCGAGTGAAGAAAATGAAGATGGGAACTGAGGCAGCCAGCCAAGAAACACCAAGTTATTCTATAACCAGGTGTATTGTCTTAAAGAAGCTCATAAGGCTTCTTGTGAGTGACTCATAAGTCACTTAGAACTTTATGGGCTCCAGAGAGGACCACCAAAGACCCCTCAGTGAAGCCCCTCAGAGACCCTGTATGGATTGTATATATGCTAATAAGTGTTGGGACATGTCATGAATATGTAACAGGTACCGGGCGGGGCTGGGCGGTGGGTGACAAGCGGTGCGGGAGCGCAGCGAGTACGGCGCGGGGCCGGTGAGCGGGAGGGCAGCTAGCACGGGAGGGCGGCCGGCGGGGAGCGGTGTGGGGGGTTAGAGGGCGGCCGGCACGGAGCGGTGTGGGGGGTTAGAGGGCGGCCGGCGGCGAGCGGTGTGGGGGGTTAGAGGGCGGCCGGCACGGAGCGGTGAAGGGGATGGGGGGGTGTTAGAGGGCGGTGGGGGCGCGGAGCGGGGTCGGTGCCGCCCCATCCCAGAGATAACAGCGCTTTCCCCACCCCTTTTTATAACGTGAGACGCGAGCGGATTGGCTGAGCCGGGCCGGCCGCGGCCCCGCCCCCGGTGCCTGTGCCGCCGCCATGTTGTGCGCCGGGGCGGGGGCGGCTCAGGGGCCGCCGTGAGGCGGGAGGGGGGAGAGCAGGGGCGGCGGGCGGTGCTGGTGCTGGTGCTGGCGCTGGGCAGGGGCGCTGTGCTCGGCAGAAGAGAAGGCGCGGGCTGCCGGGCTCGCTTCTCCGGAGGGAATGACGGATGCCGTGATCCCCAGTGGCGGCGAGATGGAGCGGGAGCAGCATCAGCGGACGGAGAAGACCAGCGCGGGCGTCCTCGGAGTGGGGAGTAACAGAGCGGGAGCCGCTGAGGACACCACACAAAATGGCGGACGCTCTGAGAGCAGTAGCGCTGGGGAGGCGCTGCTGGTGGCTTCTGCTGCTGCAGAGGACAAGGTCCCCACAAACCTCAGCATCACTGGCAGCAGCCAGCGCAGGAGCAGCATCTCGACGGCACATGAACAACAGCAGCCGCCCAGCGGTGTGCTCGGGGGGCCGCCCCCTCTCCCTAAGCCCCCAGAAGACCACCAGCCTGTTAGGAGGAACTTTCAGATCCCCAGGATGAGCAGAGAAAAGAAAGGTTGTTCCTTCCCTCCCCCTCCCTTCTCTCCCTCGCTCCCCTCCATCCGATCCATCAGGCAGGCTCCCAGGCACCTCACACGGCTGCATGCAAACCCTGCGGGTGTGGAGGAGGCTCTGCTGGCTCGCACTCGCGAGGCTGCTGCAGAGACGATTTTAATGTCAGGCTTTTACATTCTTTCCCTACCCCTCCCTCTTTTCTTTCTGCCTTTCATTTTGTCACAAGAAGGAGGAAAAAAATCAACCCCAAAACTCGGCTTGAATTTCAGACCGTTGCTTTAAAAGGAGGAGAAGCTCGATGCAATCAGGGTGGGCTTTGAGTTGATCACGACTCCGCTTCTGGAGGTGCAGTCGCATGCGGAGAAGATGGTTCTCTGGGACACGGACGTCGGAGAAGATGGTTCGCTTTTCTCTTCCTTCTGACCTCCTCCCTGCAGGAGAGGAGTGTAATCCTGTGTAGGACAGAGTAACAAACAATGAGCAGAATTGTCCTTCATTGATGATACACAGAAGACTGTTCTTATCTGGTGAAAGTTCTTTGCAGGGGAGAAGGGAGCATCCCACGTTCTTGTGCTTCGCCTTGGAAGCATTCTGCTTCCAAGTGTCCAGGGGGGTTTTTTTGTTTGTTTGTTTCTGAGTAACTCTTCCTCTAAAAGCCAGTGGTATATCTTGCTTTTCACAAGACTTCACTGGCTTCTGCTTAACTTTAATTTTGGTAAGTGAGTTGAAGACACATCTAATTTCCTCACAAAAACTGATCTAATTTCTTTCCCTTTTGCAATGTGGGGTCAGTAACTTAGTCCATATCACAAAAATACTTGTTCGCATAGGCTTCTAGTTCTTCAGAGAAGAGTCTAACATCTTCTTGAAATGCTTTCTTCTATAAGGAGAGACGAAGGTAGGTTTATTTCATTATCCAGTCTTTCCTTCCATTATGTTCCCATTTTCTTTCGTTTCTTTCCCATTGCAACCCCGCTTGGGGTGGTACAAGGCTGGCAGAGATTCATTGTAGAAAGGACTGGGTTGATTGGAGGAAAAAGGTCCCTTATAATTCATCTGACAGAAAAATATCTGAATATAACATGGTGCCTCGTGCACTTCTGCGCGTCACACCCAAGTGTGGTTACGTGTGAATACCTTTAAATATATCTCAAAAATGTTAAGTACTTAACTACTGACATTTGAAGTTCCAGTATGTAGGAAAACCTGCAGAATACCTTTTCAGTCATCTAATTCATTATTCGCTTATGCAGAGCCATCTCCTGCAGTGTGCAAAAGGTTGTAGGTATGTACTTCAGTCCTTGCACTTATGTGGCTTCTAGTGTAGAAGAGGAAGACATTCTCTGCCTTCAAAAACTGACTTGCTAATGTCAAGGTCATTTGAACCATTCTTAAGGCCTTACTCTTTGGTGCAGTTGTCTTTTTTTCCCTTTCATCCTCCAGAAAGGTTCCTGGGCATTGTAATCGTTCTGATGACTTAAGGTTTTGGAAGTTCTCCCAGCAGACCTTTCTCCATTCAGTCCATGGTGCTTGTGGGCTTAGGGCTGCTGAGTGTTGGTCTCTCAGCGTGTGATCAGTAAGGTGCTGTGACAGCACCGTTGGTAGGCAGCACTAGCAGGAGTGGATTGCCAGCGTGGTCTTTGAGGACAATCAGATTGCTGTTGGGATTTGTGCTGTCATTTGAGAAATGGTGCAATTCAGTCAGTTCTGGAACTGAACTAGAAGCTCAGCAGCGTGTTGATCATCTGGCCCTGTAGGATATATGCTTTGTGCCAGTGTTCAAATATGTCTTCTTACATTGCAAAATAATCAGAAAATCATCAGTCCGTCTCAAAAGGGCTCTCTTGGCTGGATTCTGAAGTCCAGCATGAAACAATAGCTTCCTCCATACTTCCTTGCTCTGGAATTGTAGTTATTTTGCTTTTTAAACTGCCACTTCTTTCTTGGGCATACCATCCTGAGAGATACCTTGATTATGAAAGCTTAGTTGTAATGTACAAAGTATACACAGGATGACTTTGTCATAGGTGTCTGGGTTTTGTTTTGTTTCTTTTTTTCCCTTATTTTTCTTACTTTTTTAAGAACCAAAATGTGTTTCAGGGACAATTTTTGATTGTGAAGCAAATAAAAATTGAATCTGTAATGCAAAAAACCATAATTTTGAGATTCAGCTGCTTATTTAGCCTTTCTGAAGGGTCTCTCCTCTGGAGATTTAAGTAGGGACTGAAAGTCAATAGAAAGCCTTGCAATGGGGAGAAATGAATCTGGAGGAAACACAGTATTTAAAAAAAGCAACTGTGGTTACTTGTCACTGAGAATATTTTTCTGATTTCCTCATTCTGTTTCCCAGTGTAAGAATTCAGGAAACAAAACTGAAAGGTTGGCTGTGAGGTGACTTTTTGAAGATGTGCCTTCATTTGTTTTCCTCCTTAGAACTGTCTTGAAGGTTTGTTTTCTTGGTACATGTGCCTCTCTTGAGTAGCTTATTTCTTTTGTTCATCTTTCTGCTTAGCCTGTTGTCCTGGCGTCTTCAGAGGTTTTCAAGTCTGCTTGAAACTTCAGAGATTCGTAATAGGACTAGGAAAGCAAATTTTAAGGATAAAGCACAAGAAGAGCACTTTTAAGTGGCTGAACTCTGAGTTACAGTAGCAGAAATCCTGCTGATGAGGCAGCCAGTGACTTAAAGGGGGTTGCTTGTTGATTAAAGCTGGACATTTGTTTACAAAGTCTGCCAGGATAACTGGCTGTTTCTCAGGCTGAGTGGGGGGAAAACAGGTCTTGCTTTTATCCCTGAAATTCTCAGCAATACTTGCTTGGAGGTCCAGGTTGTCCCTTTTCTACTTAATCATTTTGCCTTGTCTTTTCTAATTTTCCATATCTTTGGTAGACAACATGTATCTGCTGTTTGCTGCATGGGGACTTCAGTGAGTCCATGAACTTGGTAACTATTTAGGTCTTTTGAGAGCAAAAGACATTTTGGGCTGAAAAAGTCATGAAGTTTATGGTTCATTTACACCACATAATTTTGGTCTTAGTCTTAAAAAATGAGCAAAAAAAAGAAGACTTAAAATGGTGCTTCTCAGTGGAGTTTGTGCAGCAGGAGCACTTGTATGTGAACAATGCTAGCATTCTGCCAGCTTAGCTGATAAGAACATCAGTAATTATCTTCACCTAAAAGTTGGTTCAGGATTTCTTAAGGAGGATGTCTCTGTCTTGTTCTGACTTAAAAGAAAACAACAAACTCATTAGCTCCAATCTCAGTTTTCTGAAGTTGAAGCATCAGACAGCTGTGAAGGAGAATCATAGCATAACATGCATCCAAACATCAGGTCCAGTGCCTGTCCCTGGCTAGTTGGTACTCATTAACTCAGTTTCCACCAAAAAATACTTAACACAAGTTCCAATGCCCTGGGTAGAAGCTGAACAAACACAGTATTTACTTATTTTTACTTATGGAAAGCAAGCCAGCAAACCCCACAATAATTGACTTGTGTTATAAGGATGCTGCAGGTTAGTCCTTACTTTATTGCTGTTTAATTAACACAGGTCAGTAAAGGTGCAGCACATCCCCCTCGGGTTTGTACAGCAAGCCTGCAAGATGCATATGTACACACTGCTGGTCTTTGATGTAGGACTGGAAATAAGCTCAGTGATTTCATCATTTGCCTGGTAGCAACAGGCTTTGGCGATGTTGAGAAGGTCTAGTTTAGTACTTCTCCTTTTTTACTTTTATTTTTGTCTTGCTTCTGAACTCCTTCCTTTAAGTGAGGTACAGGCTGTGCTGTGGTGACATGAAGGTTTTAGAACATCGCTGCCCTTGAACACCACTGCTTAGGTGACAAACTAAAGAGCAGCGCCTTCCTACACCTCAGTGTTCCACGTTTTTATTAAGAACCTGATGTCTGCAGTGCCTCAAATTCTGGAAGAAAAAAACTGCAACAATCTTTAAAAAACCTCTTTAATTTTTTGTATTCCATAATTTAAGGAATAGGTAGAGCCCTTCCATAAATCTGTTGAGAGCTAATTGGACAGCAGTTTATGTAGGTTCTTCCTAGCAGGAGAACGAGGACTTGCTGCTTTGGGGCAAGTTTGAGCTCACTTGTCAGAGCTTTCCACAAAGCAGGAAATGTTTAAACACAAATGGGAACACAGTTGACAATTCTTGCACATATGACAGGATCTTAATTGGTGTAATACTGTGGCTCTTCCTAGATTTGGATCTGGGAAGAAGGTAAGATGTGTATGCTTTGCAGTTGCTCTTTCTTGCTGATCCTGTAGGGCTTTCTATTGCTGGGGCTCCACATGGAGGGCAGAGGCTGGTTTTCACTGAGCAAGTAACTCAGGGGAGGACCGGGAAGGGAAATGCTGTTAAGAAAACAGGAGATTTGGACAAGCAGCTGGCAGAGATAACCTTCTGCCTTAAATAGTCCTTTTGAGGAGCTGGCAGCATGTGAAACTCAGATCTTTTTGACAGGGAGTTACTAAACCCTGGTGGTGTAGTGCCCAAGAGCTATTTGGGGATGGGTGGAACAGG